AGTCAAGTGAATAGTGTTTGTCAGTCGATGATGTTATAAGTCTGGTCCGTTGAACGTGATTGGTCAGTATAGTCATGACGGTATTGGCTGAAAGACTCGTGTAAAGTTTGTCATCAGTCATTGGTGGGTTTCGATCCGTCTATTGTTAATCAAATAGGCCGGTTTTTGTATTGTTAAGTCGGTCTGTTAGAAGTCCGTTTGTCAGTTTCGTTTCCGTCATGGATAAATCGTTTGTAAGGCGCCGGTAGTTGTTGACATCTGTGTAGTGTGTTGTCAAAGAGGTTTATTCTGCTTGTTCATACACACCCCGTGGATGTGAGTGCTTTCTAGATTTGCATAATGTGCTAGCCTACTTAAATATGCGTACACAAAATATAACATACAATAGGTGCTAATTCTCACGTGCCAATATGTTACATCCCCTTCTCTTAAAAAACTATGTTAGTTGAAATGAAAACAAACAAAAACAAAATATTCATTCGGGCGAATGTCTCAGATACACGTATCTTGTATATACGTTGACAATGAATAAAATTAGAATATGAAATTAAAGAATGATCATCGCAGTATATTTTCCAATTTAAGCAATTGGAAAGAAGAAGCCTGAAAAAAATCAAGGCTTCAACGGGATTCGAACCCGNGAAATGATGTGAAGTTTATATGAAATAATTCATATATGAACTGCGGTTGTAGATGAAATTAAAGAATGATCATCGCAGTATATTTTCCAAGTTAAGCAATTGGAAAGAAGAAGCCTGAAAAAAATCAAGATCATTCTTTAATTTCATCTACAACCGCAGTTCATATATGAATTATTTCATATAAACTTCACATCAAAATTAGAATATATAGGCATTTTCTGCCTAGTGTTCATGTATCATGCTAATAAAAACTACTAAAGCAAGCGTCAGAGATTAAGTCTTTCCGGTGCTCGGATTTCACGTCCCACGCGAGACTTTCTTGGTCCTTTCTCGGCTTCTGTGAAGGTGGGACATTGTGGGTTGGAGTTTGAGGGCCGTATAATCAAATTGCCACTCGATGGGTTGTTTGCTGAATTGCCTGCTGTGGTGGATTCTCGTGGATTGGCGCTTGAAGATTGTGCAGTCATACGTCCTTGAGGAATACAACTCGATAAGTTGTTTGCTAAGTTGTTGGAAGCATTACTTGGTATAAGATGGATTCTATTTTTTCGTAGTTGAGCACCAGTTCCAGTTTCTATAAGATACGAGCAAGGTGTCTCTCCCTGATCTATGACTCTAGCAGGATTCCATGTCTTTCTCACGGGGTCTTGCACATAGATGGCTTGGTCCCTGTGTAGTTCAGGGAGTTCTTTGGTGTGCCTGTTGTAATAGTAGCATTGATTGTCTTGTCTCACTTTGACCCAATTTCTAACTTCTTCTTGGTTCTTTGATGGCTGAATCTTAGCAGGAAGTGTGGATTTGAATACTCGGCCATTCAGTAATTCAGCCGGTGATGGTATGTTGGAACTCAGGGGCGTTGTTCGCAGAGCCAACAGGGCTAGATCTATGTCTTCTTTTGTTTCTCTGCATTTTAGGATCGTCTTCTTAATCGTTTGGACTTGGCGTTCCACGAACCCATGGCCACGTAGGTAATGGGGAGATGACGTCACAATTTCAAAACCATATTGGCTTGCCAGTTGTTGGAACTCGCCGGATGTAAACTGAGTACCGTTGTTGCATTGAAGAGATTCTGGGATTCCATTTTCTGCGAATAACATTTTCATCTCATTAACAACGGCTCCGGTTGTGAGGTTGTGAAGCTTCTCGAAAAATGGGAACTTGGAGTAGTAGTCGACAACTATGAGGAACCACGACAGTTGGACGTAGAACAGGTCTGCGCTCAATGTTTGCCACGGTCTTGAAGGGATCTCTGATGGTATCATAGGCTCCTTCTATTGAGAATTGTGGTACCTCTGGCAAACGCAACATGAATTTACAAGGTTTTCTATTTCTCTGTATACGCTTGGCCGCTAAACACAGGATTTCGCTCGTAGTTTGCATTTTTCTATACCAAAGTGCCCTCCGTGGATTTGCTGCAAGATGTTGCCTCTCAAGGATTCAGGTACAATAACACGGCTTCCAAGAAGTATCAACCCATCTTCTACTGATATGGCACCTCGTAAGCGCCAGTACGGGTTTAGCGCCGGAACAATTTTCTTCCCACCATCGGGCCAACCTTGTATAACCTGACGGGATAGAAGCTGCAGGGTTTCATCTTTTGCAGTTTCCTCTTTAAACTCTTCCATTTTAGCTGGGGTGATTCTGATTAGGCTGTGAAGTTTCACATTCATGTCTGATACTTCAAATTCATTCAACGGTGAAAGGCGTGACAGGGCGTCGGCTGTAACCATTTCTCTTCGTAGGGTTGTAGACGCAACAACATTCTTTGAAAGCGTAGAGGTGCTCGCATCAGGTTCTTTTTATGGATCTGTTCTAGGGGGCGATGGCCTGTTTTAACTACAAACGATCTTCCATAGAGGTACGAACGGAATTTTTCGCAGCCATAGACCACGGCTAATAGTACCCCTTCGATATTAGCATATCTGGTCTCCGCAGGGGTAAGTGCTTTCGATGCAAAGGCTATTGGCTTATTGTTTTTGAAGAGAACTGCGCCCAAGCCCTTAATTGATGCGTCAACGTGCAGGACAACTGGTTCATTTCTGTCATAGTACGCCAGGGTCGTTGTGGTACATATCAATGACTTCACCTTCTCAAAGGCTTTCGAATGTGATGGATTCCATACAAAGTCAACGTTCTCCTTTAAGAGGTTTCTTAAGGGGGCAGTGTGGTCAGCTAGATTGGGGAAGAATGAGCTCATGTAAGTTGCCATCCCCAAAAAGGTGTGAAGCTCCTTCTTGCCTTTGGGTGGTTCTAAATTTTCTATGGCTCTGACTTTATCTGGGCGGGGCTTGACGCCGTCTGGTGTGTAAAGCATACCAAAGAAATTGCATTCCTTTGTTTTGATAACGCACTTCTCGTCAATGAGCTAGATACCAGCCTTTCTGGTACGTTCCATGGTTTCGTGTAAGTGTAAGTCATGCTCTTGATCGTTCTTTCCATAGACTGCGACGTCATCTGCAATGCCAATAACTCCCTGGCAATCACGATACGTCTCATCAATCTTGAATTGCAAGATATCTTGACTCATTCGTAGGCCAAACGGCCTCCTGAGGAAACGG